CTTTTCAGGGTGGCGTACATGGCGATGCCACTTTTACAGCATATGTGATTATTTCTCTGTTAGAATGTGATGTACTCGCGCAATATAATTGCCAAGTAAGTAAAACACATTTTTTTTATTATTGTCCATGACTTTTAAACTTATATTACTGATAATGTGAACCATAGTCATGGTTATACTGTTAGTATAGGTAATTGTAACTTGTACATGTGACTGTAAACAACACATTTGTGGTCAGCATCTTGGAAATGGAAAGCCGAGTGGTTTATAAGATGATGACTATAACTGAAATTTTTACAATCATAAAAAATCAATCAGCAATCAGTTGCGCAGCCAGTGTATTTGCAGAGAACCTCAAACGTAATCTTCAATTAAGCAGTCGGTGGGAGTTTCATGCTATGGTTGATGTCGTCTATCATAGACTTACAGTTTCCAAATCTTAAAAAAGATTTTCATTGGAAGAAATGTAGCACCTCGTGATCTCATGTTGAACCTTGACTGAAGCTGCATTGTCTTAACCAGGGTGCAAGATAATATGTTCAATGACAGTATACATTAGGTTGTATATGTTGTAGAAAAATCAGCCGAGTTTTCCGCTATATAAATGAGAGCTAAATTTATAAATAAAATTGGCCCGACCCTTGGTCGAGCCTAACCAAGCCAAGTGTTGTATTTGTTTTGTACAGCGTATGACGTGGGTATTTGCGTATGAATGGGAATGTAAGCTTGCATGCGTCTTGCAGGTGGCTTTGTTATGTAAATTCATGGGAGTTGTGTGGTGGACGTGGCAAGTCAGTACACCACGAGCAGTCGAAGTGTGAGTACCTTATTCAGCTCTGCCTAGCAGCAGTTTGTAAGGGCATTTCAGGCTCTTCGTCACTTTGCTCATGCTGCAGAACCAGACTAATAGTCAACCAGCCTTACGTTTATACCTGTGTACAGACAGGGCGAGTTGTTGGTTTCAGTGGTTCTGCCCTTTGCTGAGTGGAACAGGGAGGAGTGACGGCATATCAACAGTAAGTTGTACTTTACAAATTTTGGAGTGTCGTGTAGACAATTTTTTTTATATGGGGCTAAAGCGATGAATAGAAGTATGGAATTTATTGTGAATTATATATGTCGCATTATTTAAGCTATTTTTAAGGTAGCGGGACTATTATTTGCATACTTGTTTTCATCTTCTAATTGTGACCAAATGACTACAAATAGACCCAGGAAAGTATATATTTTTGGAATCGCCAGACTTCAAGCTTTTCAAAGGTGTGTTTGCCATACCCGTATCTGCATTCTACGGTGCGTTACTTAATCAAAAGTGAAAAATTACTTTTTTTGTAAAAAAAATAATTACGCATTTATGCTGGTGATAATAAGTTTTTTTTCACTTTTCCTAGTTGTTTAATAGTCTGGTAAATTGAATGTCTGGTCAGTTTTATTCAAGCAACGCGTTTTGAAAAGTAGTGTCCTGAATTTTAATTTCTGTTTTAGTCGCATTGCCCCCAACTCAAACCACAACACATTGGTAAATAATCCATGAAAGTTTGTCTGGACACATTCACATTCCTCTCATTGTCACCTTAAAGCTGTGAAAATTTGGTGTTAATCCGACGACAATAAGTATACGTTATTTTTGTTAAAGACCTTGTATTTTGAAAAAACATAAACTCCTAGAAAACGTCCATAAAGTCACAGTAAAGATTTTCAAGCTTGTTTATCTGCACAATCAATTTGTTTTCCCATCAAGATCTGTTTTACCATGTGTAGGACCATCCACCAAATGTGTAAGGCTATTGGAAACTAAAAAAAATAAAGGAATGGGATAGCTATAGTTCGATAAAATCGGCAGATGAAAACACCAAAATCAATGATTTTTTTTTTCAGTGGCTGTGTGACCTTGTGTCTGACACATTCATATGCAAATGACTAATCTGTGAAATAAACAGGGGCGGAGACAAACCACTCGAATGTTTGGAAACACTCATTGTGTGTCAGATAGCTACTGATAACACATCCTAACATTGCTTTGTTTTGAGTTAATCTTTGAAACTTATAGGCACACAAATTAAACCTGTGTTGTTGATTTTGGAAAACACTACTGAAGCTGCATTGCTTCCCTTCAGAAAATCTACATTTTAACCAACTTACATGACATTCTAGGTTACGTTGACTTTATCAGATGAACGTTTATAGTGCAGTTCATCAATTAATAAATAAATGTGAATCGTAATTTTCAACACAAATAATAGTCTCGGTACCTTAAGTGTAATGTAGCGATACATAATAGTTTTTTAGAATACTCGTCATGTGACGGGAATTTAATTAGCACGTGTAATTGGTATTGCTATTTTTAGTTGGCTTGGTGATTGGGAACTGATGTATTGTGGTCGTGTTGACGTACGTTAATATTGGCAACTGGTGGTGGTGAATGGTTTCTATTATATCTACCCGGATCGGTTACTTGGTGGCACAGGCAGTGTTAGAAGCTCTATGGACTTGATGTGGATGGCAGCTGAAGTATCGTCGATGCCAAGATTTGAGGAGCGTAACAGAACACTGCAGGACTACAATAGTACACTGATACTGTAAACTTTATCACAGTTTTGTATTGCCTTAATTCCCTGACCCGAAGCCCTTGTATGGCCCATCTTAGTTTTACGTAACTATGTATTAAGCATATTGTTGTATTTCGCATAAATGGATAATAGATTGAAGTCGTTGATTTATTAGTGATAAATTCTTGTGCACAAGTTTCATGTTAATTTCTGAGTATGAATATCTGTTGATGAGGTTTAGAGAATAAAAAAGCTTAGTTAACTGTGTGCACTTTGTCATCACCATTCGTTGTGTGCTCCCGCGTGCTTAGCCAATCCTCTGATCTGTGACAGTATACGGTGGGTTGAGCTGATACAAAGCTATAGCAACAACAAGACTTGCGAATTAAAGAGAGTAATCGTACGGCCATACAATTAGCTCAGAGTGGTATAAATCGTGTTATACAACACTTTTACCCCTCTCTATTGTTGTATTGCTCCCAGAATCATTTTCATTGTAGACAATTTTCGAGGTTCACAGGTGAATAATATAGTTTCTTTATTGCAAATTATCAGAGTTCACTGATTATTTAAATGGATTCGAAACGAGATTTATCACATGTGAAAAACGTGCGAGTGTATGAACATTTCGACTTCTAGAGATTTTCTAGAGGTATTGCTTTCTATCATCAGATCCGCATAGTCTTTGAGTAGTCACTATTCTGTCTGAAAAAAGATTTTTGAAGAGAACGCAAGGTTTGACCAATAAAATTCCCAAGGACTCTACTGTATTTGTTTTTCAAAATTGTGTTTTGTGTTTGGCAAGGGGCAATTTAAAGATGTTCTAACAATGCTTTAAATGTCTGGAGAATATAATTAATGACATAGTACACGTCCTTATTACCAGGTAGCTAATATTTGTATATGCAAAATGTGCAAGAAGAAATTTGAAAAACAAAAATGCTTTGAGAATGCATGAAGCATATCCACATGGCTGTGTGCTGGTTCCATTTATTGCAATGTTTCAAACAAATATTTGTTTTTCTGCCATCGTTACACAAAAATAAAAATGGCAGAATGGACTTTTTGAAGCACCCACAAATTCATCAAATTCACGGCACAACATAGTTTACTGATGTTTACAGTTTAATGTGAATCTCTTCAGTACTGTTTCCCTGTCATTATATAGATTATAACAGGCTATGACAGTATACATCCAGTATACATGCTTCAGATAATTATATACAACTTGTAAACCAGCACTACAAATTACATTTTGCACCGTCGCTATGAATGTACAGATTTAGAAAAGGTGCAAGGTCTCAAGTCTAACGAAGTATAACAACCCAAGCAACTCGGATCATTATGTAGTCCAATATTCCCTTGTTGCATTCGTTTTACTAAAAACTATCTGCAGTGTCTATAATGTGTGTATTTTGTGGTGTAGAATTTATCGTATTTGTAAATTCTTTTTGTACCAACAGAAAAGCGGCTCACTTTCTAAGTCAATTTCGTATCTGGAGGGGAGAATTAAAGATACTGATAGACCATATGCTGTGGCTATAATTACGTATGCATTGGTCTTGGCTAACAGTGGAAAAAAACATGAGGCAAATGAACAATTGAGGGCGCTTGCTACATATGATAAAGGTAATGTTATGTTATCGTAACATACAAGTAAAACTGTATGAAAAGTTAATATTAAACCAAGTGTCACCAGTGTTTGTCACTATAATTCAATGGTTTTCACAAATATTCTGCAACCACCTTCGAAGTTCTGGAGAAAACAACATTTTAGCTTATGTTTTTAATATTTGTTGGGGTGATGTTGACATTCGGTTCTGTTTGATCTTTGCCAAAATGCCAAAGCTAAAGCTAAACATGTTCATCTATGTTTGGCACCTGACTTTAGTGTCGTTCATATTTTTCAAATGTTATAAATTGTATATTCCAAGTGGGAATAACACACTCAAACATATGAATATTATTTACGACTGAAAAACAAATTTAAGTACAAAATAAATGAACCTTGTCTTGTACATGAAATAGTGTCAAAGGATTCGAACAAAATTGGCGCATTCTGCTCCACATTCAAATTTATAGTCATTTATCTATTCATATTTTTCGTACGTGTATTGCAGACAAAATATTGCTATGAATAATATGAACTTGAATTATATTTTTTAGTCAACATTGTGTTTACATATGCAAAACAAGACAGTGCAGTATGTCATTATCATCAAAACTATTTTTCTATGATTATATATTATTTCCAAGATGTTTGAAGATTGAAGTTGTCTTGAGGCATGGTTCAAACTGAACAACTATGTTTTCTCAACACAGAAACAAATTCCCGACACTGGACAACAGACGCAGCAATCTTTGGTGATGGAAATAAACCATATTGGTACACCCACAATCCATCAGCAATTGAAGTAGAAACAACTGCGTATGCCTTATTAACACAAGTGGAACTTAATGATATTGCATATAGCAATGCAATAGTCGTTTGGTTAACATCGCAGAGAAATTCACAGGGGGGATTCATTTCTACACAAGTAAGTATTAGTTTTAAAAGTTATGGTTAAACACTGAATCCTGACCGGCAAAACCCTTTTCACTACAACACTGTTCTTAATTATTGTTGTTGCTCAACCGGTAATTTATATCTTCTCAATTGCTCTCTGTCAGCTACGAACAGGAGTAGGTTTGTGATATTACAGGTGATAAAAAAAAGACTAAATATTATAAAACTAAACCCCGAACCAAAGTAATAAGATGCTATATATTTCTGTCCATGAAATGAGCAATTATGGTGTTCAAGTAAAAAATAATGCAGCTTTGTTGAAGTCGAAGTCCAGGTAAATCAAAAGAACCTTTTACCGTGATTTGGATTTGGTTGAAATCCATGCATATTAATTACCTAATTTGCATGATAATTCGCCAATTTTTAGCTGTTCCATGTTCTACTGATATCTGAAGGGCCACTCATTGGATTATCATGAAGAGTTGCTACGTAGATGCTCTGAACTAATGTTCAATTTTACTAGTTTGGGGTCAAAATCCTGCATATTAATTCCTAATTTGCATAATGATTAGTCAATTTTCGGCTTTTCCACTGATATCTCGAGTACTAATCATCACATCTCCTCTTAGTACATATATGGCACAGACCTGGTTTGGTAATGTCCGTGCATATTAATTACCTGGTTTGTATAATTATTAAATTTGCCGGTTTTACTAATCATTATTTTTCAATAAAATTAGGTACAGTTTTAGGACAATGTACAAACCTGAATATTTTGAAATTAAATATTTGCATATGATTTACCTAGTTTGCATAATTAGAAAATTTTCGGCATTTACACTAATATCACAATGACTGATTATTTCATGTCATTGAAACTTATTACATAGATGCTATGAAACAATGCATAGATCTTCTTAGCTTTGGGTTGATATTAGATCATATTAATTACTTAATTTGTATAATAATAAGTGTTTTGTTCTAATCAAATTTCAATAAAACTTCATACATAGATGGTGTTTGACAATACTTATCTTAATTCAATAAATCGTGAGGCATATATGACACTCTAATAAGTTTTGGGTTTATACACATCCATAATAATTACCTAATTTGCATAATTTACTTTTCAGCTTCCCATGAATTTAGTTAGGATTATACATCACATTACAATGACACTTTTAACATGTATGCCCTGAAACAATATACAGACCTAAATCTATGCATGATGATTGTTTAATTTGTATAATCATTTATTTGGTTCTTTGAGGTATTCCACAGACATGCATACTGATTATCTATTATTAGCCCATTTCTGACATAACAAAAATAGAATTCATCACGGAAGTGGAAAACCACTGACGAACAACTAAATCTATTTGCTGTATGTATTATATATTTGGATAATGTGAATCACATTATTTTTATGTTGTGCATCTCAAATAGCAGACAAATATGCCAAGCTTCTCGTTTGAAAGGCAAATCTTGAATTTATTAACTTTAAGCACACGGGAGTTATTTCTAAGCTTTCCTTGATCTGAATTAAAACGAAAGAATTTTACAATGTTTAATACGTAAAGGAGTTATTGCAGTGCTGATGGAATGCAACTTTTCCTTAAGAATAGCTTAGGAGATGAGACAATGTACACCATCCCACACCTCTTAGTCAATGAAGGAAGATATTGGTGATGGGCATAAACCAATTATTGCATTTCAACAAGACTAAGTGCCTGAAAGCAATACTGGATTGAAATTGCCTAATTTGCAAAATCATCAAATTTCTTTGGTTCACGGTTGCTCTTGAGGGGAAATCCTCGGACTTGATGTATTTAATGATACAAAAATGCATATTGTTTATCTAATTATTTCTGATATCTCAAAAAACAGATTTAAATTGACCTTGTGGCATGTAAAATGTATTATATACTCCAAGTTTTTTGCGTAGTACATCTCAAATAGCAAACAAATATTAGTTGCCAAGCTTCTTGTTTGAAAGGCTAATTTTAAATATTTAAATTGAGTTTTAATATGCCTCCAAATCTCTCAGCACACGGGAGCTCTTTCTAAGCTTTCTTTGATTAAAAACCATAAATTGGTATTCAATAATCAATGAAAAGCCATTTCTTTGATAATTTAATAAAATCGCCTAACAACGTTTGTTTTTAATATTAAAGCTCTCCTGAAATATCTCAAATTGGCATTGATGTCATACTATTTCAAAGTCATGCATAACATACTCCATCCAATATTATGTTAAATTATTATAGGACACAATTATTGCTCTGTATGCCCTGGTTAAGTATTCGGCAGCAGCTAGAAATGTGATTGAGACACCGGTACACATGAATTGCACAATAACAATAGAAGCTGATGATGCCTATAGCGAAGTAATCCCTTTAAATGAAGGGTCCATGGTGCAGCACATTAGAGAGGTACATATTATTATTATCTTCCAAATTAATGGCAGCCTAAACGGACAAACAATTGATAAGCTTTCCGCAAACTTCAACTCCACAATTTCATCTATTTAGGTACCTGTTGGTGGCAAGCTGTATATTGACACTACTGGAACAGGTATTGGAAATCTTCAAGTAGAAGTTAGGTATAACACGCCGGCTCTTTATGCAGAAACGTGTGCATTTAACATCACCGTGAATGTAGTAGAACCACGCCTACGTAGAAGAGATAACACCCTCAGTAATTCCGTCATCCATTTGACTGTTACTGTAAGGTATTTGCATTTTATTTTATCACTGAAACAATAATACAATGAAAATCCACGTTAATCACGTGGTCTCAAATTAATTATCAATTACAAAGTATATCATACTAAATTCGGTATTTGTCGTTTTGGCTATCAAACAAGTAAGAGTTACTCCTTGTAATATCGAAATAATGCAAATATGAATCTATTTGTTTATGTACCGGTTATCCTATTTTACATTGACTTTATTGGATTTCAATACACTTTATTATGTCGCCTAAGCATAATGCACAAACTTCTTTTTTATTCATTTGGCATGAAAAGTAGTAACGTGGTTCAGTGACCCTAATCTGAAGTTTTCGTTTATTACTCCAAAGTAAATCATTTGGTTTTATTTAACCTGTTTTAAAATACTCTAAAATGGTTAGATTATTTCGTTCATTGAGTCACCTGAAAAGATACTATTAAAAGCTTAGAGGAATGTGGAGAATGTGCTGATCCCATGATGTGTGGGAAATACACCCGATCAATGTAAAATTGTTCAATCGGATCACGGACGAACTATGAAATATAGGTTTACGGGGTAAGTGAACTATGTGATATATATTATGATTATTGATTTGTATAATCAGTATTCTATACTCCTATGTATATATAGATACAAATTTTGTTATTTGACATTGTGAATAAATAAAACAATTGACAGAAATCAATATTTAAAATATAAAACAAAAAAGGCTATTTTATTATTTTTCAGATTCTTATTTTATTACTTTTCAGATACAACAAACCTGGCAGTACAGGAATGGCAATTATTGATGTTGGACTGTTTTCAGGATTTGAGCCAATCAAAACGTATTTGGAGAAGGTGAATCAATTTTGAATGTCTGATAATATGTAATCGTGAACAACCTTAAAAGTGGTGGACATTCAATCTATACATATACATATGTACATATTGTTTCATTGTGCAATTAAAGACAGCCAAATGGTTATTCCAAAGTCATATCTCTGACATGGCTTGACTGTGGACGTGGAGAATACTCACACAACATTTTTTTAGTTCTACAAGTCTGATTCTGTAATAATATAACAAGTTTTATTAACACTTTCATGTTTGTTTACAGATGAAAAATAATGAGGCGCAATTCCAAAGTTACGACGTCAACAAACGTTCGGTTATATTCTACATTGATCAGGTAATACATCCTTGTTTTGTAATCCACTTCTATCCGTACATGTCGTATACTTTTAAACACGTAAACTGAAGATTGGGATTCGTCTGTTTAGCCACTCACAATCATTGTCAAATATGAATGGCAACTATTTGAAAGGATGTATAGTATATATTTCATAAATCAAAATCTGGCGGCTAATTTAAATAAATAAAAATGTACCCAGGACAAACAATATACTACCTGTAACGGCGTACTGGTGTGTGTCAGTTTATTTCAATTGCCGTGTGACGTATAATAATACGAACCAATGTTTTATATAAGAATCATGGTATAAAATAGGCGATTCATGTGACTTCGTGGTTGTTATGGTAAAATGTATAATTTAAGATATTTAACCAACATGCGTGTGAATTCGGTTTGTATTTTGATATTTATTAGGTGTATAGTGAAAATTTAAGATATTTTGTGGTATTATAGGCTTTTATTGTTTAGTGCTGCCAAGGCATATAACCTAGACATATATTATAGATATTCATAAAATACTCATAACAATGAACATTATATAATAAGGTCAGCCTATATTGCAATTGCACGTGTCCGATGGTCCCCATTTTTTTTTTTAGTGATCTCCTTTGTTGATACAATTAGTTTGTTGGATGCTTCTTAGTAAAATAGTGTTGCAGGCTGGGTCGGCGTTTGTCCAACATGGCTTCTTTTTAAAGTTTGCATTAGTGCGCAAACCATTAGTGTGGGATTACAGGCCAAGTTGGCCAAGGGTTCTAACGATGGCTTTTGCTTGGTATCTGAACTGTAAGTTACAGACCATGCGGAATACGTTCATACATCAACTGAATATCTCTATGGCCTTCACTAAAGACCAAAGCCTGAAATACTCTATGTCATACACAACTGTGTCAGCTCTAATTCCCCTATTTTCTACATTGACCGTGCATTAAAGTCAACAGTTTAGGTTTTCAGACTACGTTTTTGGTGTGTTTTTCCAATAGAAGCTGTCGGGTGTATTTTCCTAGAGATTTTTTGTTCCAGCCATGTCTGGTCGCTATCCCAATAACTACATCCGCTGTTTAAATAACCTGCATAAAAGTCAGATTTCTACATTTTGAACATCATTAATAACACATAGAGTAAGGCTTTGAATCCTCTCTCTTTCGTTTTATTGGGGGACAACTGCACCTACAGCTGATGAAGGGGAAGCAAGTGTAATCTTACATTCATAGTTGTAGACTTTTTTCTCAAGAGTTTTTATATGTTAGATTAAACACCCCTGACCTACTTTAATCTCATATCAATTTTTTGACAAGTCAAGGTTAATACTGTCATCAACTCACTTTGTTAGCTCTTACCGCTCGGATTTGGCCCACCCACAATGTTGACGCTCTTCATCCTGCTTCCCCTCGAATAAGTTGCGGGAAAGATTGGTTCAGATAGGATTTTTTCTCACCATTATACCTAGTAATTGAAACACATATAACCACTTCCCTCACGTTAATATTTGGTTCGGGTGTATTAGATTTTGGAGATAAATCACATAATTAGAGCCTGAGAGAATTAATTTTTAGCGGTAATGATTGGTTGAATAAACACGCACCATGATTATTTGTAAACATAAATCATAATGAGAGCAATTTGTAAGGCACCAGTCTGTAAATAAAGAGGAGTTTACGTCTGAATGAAAGTCTGACACAGTCCAGTGTTCAAACTATATATGTCTTGTTTGTAAATATACATGTCTTAAGTTTATAGAACTCTGATATGAGTTTTTATACTTGGTAATACAACCTAGATATTACTTGCCACCCCACCCCCGTCTTTCTTTTCGAATTATGGGGATATGTTTGGGAAAAAGGCACGTATAATTGGAACATGGGCTGATCCCCTCTTCATCCATTTACACATGCCACGGGGCAAGTTCAATGTTCAAAAATGCGCTCGACTAAATGTGCCTTGTTTTATTCAATGGTTACATTTGGCAACACTGGTAATATACAACATCATTGTCAATTGAAACCATTTGATTGTGACTAAGGATATATGGCGGATGCTACATATGGGACAGAGTGTGTAATAGTTTAGTTTAACATCTTTCTCCCGTTACTTTATTTTTAGATAACAAACCAGACCGATGTTACAATTGAATTTGACATCAAGCAAGTATTTAATGTAGGGAAAGTTCAACCAGTTGCGGTTAAAGTTTATGACTATTATTCACCAGGTAAGTTGCGCTATGTATAGTAAATGTTGATTCAGAATTGTGTATTTGTGTTGCAGTATTTACGGTGAAAAACAATTTGGGATTTGTAAAAATGTCATGTTTATGTTTTAGAAATTTGCATTATCAAGGCTATTTCATTTTCAATCTGTTATTATATTTCCAGATGTACAATGCACCAAGTTTTATCAGGCTGAAGAAGGAAGTGCACTACTTGACACTTTGTGCGAAGGTTATATATGTGTCTGTGCTGAAGGTACGTACCATACATCATAGTGTATATGCTCTCAAACATAAATAGAAGGAACAGGACAGGTTAATTTCAATACTTTGTCAATGTTTTTGATACCATAATAATTTATTTCTAGTAAAATAATTGCATTCATTTCCAGCTCATACGAAATAATTGATGTCACAAGTTACAATACTACATCCCTTGAACAAGTCGAATCTCAGATTTTCTTTGGTTATTTATTGTCAATCTGCTTTGTGTACTTGCTTTTCAACGTATAATAGTTCAAAAAGAATTTGTGTATAACCACGTGACCTCACTTAATATATTATATTCATATGTATATATGGCAGGGAAATGTGGTAAATGCTTAGATAAACAACCTATTAGAACATTAGAGAATAAAGGCGATTTAGTCGAAAAGGCATGTCACGACATGGGCTATGGTGAGTTGATTAACATACATGATTTTTTTAAATGACAAAACATATTTTTCCACTTCGCCATCCACTCAAACAACTAATTAACAGATTGAAAGACGCGCTATGACAGGTAGCTGGTCAATTCGGTACCGTACGTGTTCGCCAGTTTGAGTCACGCACGCAGTACATGTTTACTTTGATTTCACCCTCGATTTACCCAGTCAAGTATATTGTGTTATTACCTAACCAACCATTTGTACTTTAATGAGTATGCAAGTATTTAAATTCGGTTGAAATATTTACATTAAAGCTTACAATGGAGCACGCACAAGTTGATTTGGAAATCGAATCTAAAATGCTGGCCTCGTAGACTAAATGAAGTTATTTAGTGATTAGTTACTTCTTGTTCTGGAAATTGTTTATGTAATTGTTTCATGCATATGACAATATAACAGAATAATCTTTACTTTCCAGCATTTAAAATACATGTATTTAATGTGAAGTTTGAAAAAGGATGGGAACATATCACTGCCATTATTGAAGTCATAGCTAAACACGGTATGTTTGTCTCCTATGCACAATAGTTTAAGTTGTACAAACGTTACGTGTGCTTGCATGTATGTCACGTGTGATCTGAGGAGATTTTGAGGACAAAGATTAGTTCACAAATATGCATGACGCCTAAAGATGTTGTGTGTATATTAATATTAAAGAAATCTAGCGCTGGTACTATCAATTTGTTTGATTTATAATTCTTGAGCCAAACAAAAAAGTTATTAAATATATTACACATGCCATATATAATTATGCTGTAGATAGTTTGTAGTAAGCTGAGTACCAACAACCACTACTTGCAATGGAATGTAATTTTAAAGTTGCATTCCCATTAATCTAATATATGAGGTACTATCCCATGAATATTATATACACCATCCAATGCTGCAACTTATGGAGAATATTTACAATGTAGTGGCAAGTGAGGAATAATACTTTGTATCTTTTTTTGACAAATGTTTATCAAAATTGAAATGTTTTTGAATCCATGCATACAACTGGCATTTTTTTAACAATTTCAGAGCAGTATCATAAATGAAGCTTACGTATAACTCTGCCTGCGATTGATGATATAATCATGAAATTGATTTCTATAAGGATTTGTTTAACCTCAATTTTGGAGCCGTCTACTCTAGATATTCATTTCCCCCACAATAAAGCACATTGTTTATGTTGATTATGACAGTACAAATAATTGTTCTCAATTAATGTTCTGAATTTTAATTATAATAAAATAAAAAACGCGTTAATAAATTGAGTTACAATACTTATTCGCTTATTACAATCAGCAATTGAATTTTGTGATCTGGATTGCGAATTTGTTTTGAAATTTTCAAGTTTATTGCACAATTCACAGGATATTGTTCAATAATCGTGATCGCCTTCTATAAATGAATCTGTGTCCGAAGTTAGCCGGACTTGTGTATTAGCAAAAACTATTTATTTCCCCCAAAATAGAAACTATTGTTTTCAAACTTGCATATATTTCCAAGTCAAAAGTAACCGAATTCGTATGCTCGTAGGTTTAAACAAAACATTACAGATTGTTGATTTCAAACAGTGGAAATTACCGTATCCTTAAACGGTTTAGATTGTCATCATATATCGGAAACTTGTTGTGTATTAGACTGCGTTATCAGTGAAAAATGATCAACTTTATAATAATAAATTTATATTGTAATTGTAAAAATAAAAGTGAATGCAATTTCATTCTTGATAGGCATCGAAGATGTGTCCATTAATGATCAAATACATATCTGGAAGAGTTCCACCTGTGAATGTCCTAAAATCGAACCAGACGTCAAATATTTCATTATGGGAAGAGATCCTGAATCATTTGTAGATGAAAATGGTTTTGAAAGGTTGGTAACTCGTTATTGATTATACAGCTCATATTAAATAGTGTGTTACTATGTCACCGTAACGCCATAAGTGACAGCGTCCTATAATTTTGCGGTATTTTACGGGGTATTTTCATCCTACTATACAAGGAAATACGAATTCAAATAATAATAAAAAATAAAAAACATGGCTGCCACCGGGGTTTGGCTGGTCTCCACACAAAAAAGTTTGCTGATTCTGTTCTAAACATTTCGGCATTCCCTTGATGTATCCTTCGAAGTAAAAGATGTATAATAATAAGGTTATTACGAATATACCTCACTTCGAGGTATTGTGATGGGTTAAATTTGATGTCTTTAAACCCTTCACTTAGGTACCCGGGATTCGGATATTCTCCACGGTGGACTAACAAAACACCAGAAGCTGAATTTGTGTCACCTTCGTTCGCCAAGACAGCTTCAAACCGGTTTTATTAACTTCTCAACTCTTAGCCAATTACAAGGGAGTATCATACAGCCAATCACACAATGTTCTTAACACGTCATAACACAATTGATTAATCGTTACTATATTAGGAAAACTACTACCGTACTGCCAGCCAGATGTAATCAGTGATTGTCATGGCAACTACCAACAAGCAGAAATATAAATCATGACAGTATCCTCGTAATAACCTCATATTATTATTACCTTTTACACAAAAAATAGATAAAAGTGTGTCATTATAGAAACATCAACACGTGTGCATAATAAAATGTATTCACAATGGTTGATGTGTGACTTATCAACCAATATTCTATTTCACGTGGCTTTAGCGAGGTATAATGTATCATTTATATTTTTTGTGGATTTCAATGAATTTACCTCCCACCTGGATAATTAAATCGTAATCAAAAGTAATGCATTGAGTATAATAACGCCTTGACCTTTCAATGCACACATGCATTGCCCATGTTTCATGCGAGTCTCGTCCCTTCACTCAAATGGGTAAACGGACATACCAGCATTGGCCAATGAATACATGGCTTGGGTTGAAAGCACCTCTTGAATTGTCTCATTTACATATTTACTGGAACCATCCCTGTACACGGTCCCGAAAAGTGAATGAGAAATTGTAGCTGCTACAATTGTTTTAAAAATATGTATTCCACCACAAATGTGCAATTAATTATTAATGGAATTATAACTGAAACCTTACACTTCTCTGTCAAATAGAGACATTTTTTTGGAAACCAGTTTTCTTTAGTAGAAGTAATCGCTTTGCATAAAAACAACCACTATAATGTGATCTTCTCAAATGAGGAACATGTGAATGTCTTAAAAGCATTCAAAGGTATATCTCAGGTCAATATGTGTTCAATAATGTTAAAGGTAGACCTCGTCGAGATCGCCAAATATTTCAAAAACGAATTAGACATTTAAAATACCCAGATACAAATAATTCTGGTTAAATTTGGTTAAACATTTTTTGACACATAAGAACATGACCAACAACACTTGCTTCATAAGCTACATACATCTCATCTAACCCTACATTCAATAATAGTAGGCGACTCAAACCGACGCTCTAATAATTTACAACAGTATCTCTGGTGCTACTTGATGTGTAGGCTGCTTACTAAGTTCCTAACCGTTACCACAGTAAGCATTTGACACCACCATTCATAAGTTTTCGACTTCTTCTCGAGACCTCAGCTTAAATGGGAGTGTTAACTGAACTGGCTTTACTACATTTTTTTTCACGCGTGACACAGATTTTGGCCACAGATTCGTGATTTAATAATTGTTTTTTTTTCTACCTTGTAGTTACAAGTACCTGATTGATGAAACAAGCTACATTGAAGCATTTCCAGCAGTGGGACGTCGGCATAACATTCTTCAACGTGTAATGCACAGTTTGACTGACGGGGCTTGCACTGCCTGAAGTTACAGTTTGTAATTACAAGGAAACTTATCCTTAACACATTGTCAGTTTCCTTTCTGTTTTAATTTCGTATGTTAAAGGTTAATATGAATAACATTAATTATATAATGTAAATTAGTGTAGGTTTTAGTTGG